ATAATTTGGTTAAATTTTATTTGACAATAATAGAGGTGTAACGATATCCCAAGTTTCACGATACGATATCATCAGTGTGAACCTCACAGTACGATATTTATTGCGATATCATGGGAAAACTCACGATTAGGGATGTAACAATATCCAGATCTCTTGGTACGATATTTATTGTGTGATTTTGTGGAGGCAAACAAAACTGTTAATATGGTACTTTTTCCTCTTAAAATGCCTTGACAAGACTTGATCCAAAGAACTAAGACTTAAAAGTGTTAGAACTGTTATTTCTTCTTGTAGTCTACACTGAAATGGCGCAAAGGATCATGGTCTATGTAGTTCCTTCTGTCTTTTTTTTTAAGATGTTGCTGCACCATAACTCTTCTTTTAAGCAAAGAGACTTGTAATTCGATATATTGTGATGGTCCACAATACAATATCATGATATTTCAGTTACTGTTACATCCCTAGACAATAATAATAATAATCTCATTTGTTCAGAATAATCATGACGAACAGGCTAATCAAAAACTAAAAAATATATATTATAGGTGACTAATTGACTTCTAAAGTTGTTAGCTGCAGCCCTACACACAACACAACACAGCGCCTGTTTAAAGGTGCATTGTGCAACTTTTCTGGTGGAGGGTCTGCTACCTGTTTGTCTCCATGGAGATGTTACTACTTTGCCTTGAATTTTCCATGGTATAACTTAAACCATTTCCATCTAGCATTTATTCATTACAGGTGTTTGTGTTGCTCAAAAATACAATCATTCCTTCTGTGAATAGGGGCGACTCTCCACAGATCTGACCTGTAATGTAGCGTGGTGCTGTAACCCACTTGTCTCACTTGTGATAGGTAGTTTTAATCTATACTGTGGAACATTCTAGACAAAGAAATACCATTAAATAATACACAGAGTGCCTTTAAACTTCTCTATTAACTTTATAGGAGTGTTTTACCACTATAAAACATTCAGTCCTTCTCTGTGTCCTCATTGTTTTACTTTTGTGTCCCGTCTAGGCCCAAGCGTGCAGGGCATCCAGACCAAACTCGTGACGAACCAGCAGATGGACGATGGCGTCGAAACTGGGGGCGCAGTGGAAGACCCTGGCCTCTCAGCTGGAGATGAAGGCTTCAGAGCTCCGAGAGATCGAAGCCGACAGTGAAGACGTGGAGATGCAGGCCAAACTTCTGCTGGTGGCCTGGCAGGATCGAGAGGGGGCCCAGGCCACAGTGGAGAGCCTGGTCACAGCTCTAAACGCAGCTGGATTTTCACACATCGCAGAAGGACTCACTGAAGCATAGTTTTAACACAGCAGCAATGTCTTTTCTTACCAAGCACCATTGTCATATGTTTTGTATGTAGTTTATGTTTAAATACTGTTTCCTATTAGGGTTGTACAATAAATGTTTTTTTTACTAAAGGTTTGAATTGTCATGAATTTTGAAAGCTGATTTTATTACAAAGGGACATTGTGCAAAACAAATTCAACAGTCAACCAACAGAGAATCAATAGAATGTTGAGTTTGTAGTGAGATAATTGGAGGTAGAGCAGTGGTTTTCAAACCTTTCACATGAACCAGTGATGGGCAGCTCATTATATTTTTGCCAGATAATTGCTACTTTGAGGCTAAAATGATGAAATTACAGAAAACAAAAATCTAATTTAACTATTTATCCTTCAAGTTTAGTTCAAGTTTCGAGTAAAATACTGCTATAATCTGTATAAAATTTAAAAGTTTATTTTAATACAAAACTCATTAATATCATGATTAAGCATAATACTTGCTGCGACAAGCATTAGTATGCAATCATGCAAAAAGCAGTTTTGCAATTACAACAAAAATACAAAGTTGTAAGACCAAAGTTGAGAACTGCACAATTAATGGATTAAAAATGATTGTATATTAATTGATCATTGGATTTATATAATTGGATTATAAAATCGTGTCCATCACTAGTCCCACCAAAGAAAATATTTGACTTTCATAGTGACACTAGATCAGCACCAGAGGTGGGACTTGCAAGTCCTGACTTGGAGTCAAGTCTTGAGTGACTTTTTAGGACTTGGGACTTGGCGTCATTCAATGGATTAAGACGTAGACTGTCTGGGACCTGAAGTCAGTGACTTGGGACTTGACACGGACTTGACACCTGTGACTTGAGAAGACTTGATGCTTCTCATAAATATGTTTCCAGAAAACACTCTTTACAGTTGATACATGTGGTGCTGAATTTTCCAGGCACAAACTGGAACATGTCCCTCCCACTTCTCTCTGTTACATTGGATGGAACTGAAGTATTATGATGTGATATCCTCAGATGTACTACAGTAATATACACAACAAACATGATTCTTCCATTTCATTGCAGACTACCTGATAAAATAACTTATTAAGCACTTTTAAATCTGAATTCTTTCTGTTCTGACCATAATGATTCAAATTTATATCTTGTCAAGACATTTAAAAAGGAAAAATTAGCTTTTCTACGACTCTTATATAAATATTCCATGACTTTTTAAGGACAATTTAGTTTAAAATTAATATAAATTGCAAAAATCTGGTATTTTGGTTTAAAGACTTGAAATGACTTGAAGCTCAAAGCAGACGACTTGGACTTGACTTGGACTTATGGGCCAGTGACTCGAGACTTGACTCAAACTTGAGGTCAGATACTTGAGACTGACTTGAGACTTGCAAAACGACTTTGTTCCACCTTTGGACAGCACAATAAACATGGATTACCACACTTTGAGAACCACTGATTTTACTAGTGTGTGTATATTGAGGTTGAAAACACAATTGACAAAGTTTGAGAAAAATTGAATATTGAAGCTTTATTTCTCTGCTGTTAACCATAAAGGCACCTTCTCTGAACCAACCCTCCACACACCTCCTTAAAAAAAAACACACATTGGTGAAAATTTGGCAGAAAGAACATCAAATACGCAATGTTTTAACTCAAACTTAAGTGCAAAAGGGCAGTCTTTTTGGTGTGGAAATCTTAGACAACTCATCACATGTCTGTCTATTGCAGTTGATTTGATATAATTACTGCTTTATAATATGATCACCTCAATTAAAGGCTTCAACAATGCACAATGAGTATAAAACATTTAATGAAATTGCAAAGATAGACCTCAAAACCTTCTTAAAGGCTACAGTCCAGAGAGTGCTTCAGTTTTGTCAAAGCCCACAATAGTTTAATATTTAACAACATATGACAATTCTTTTACAAGCATTTGCGTAGGTTACAAAAAAAAAAAAAAATCATCAAAATTAAGGTAATCAAATGTTTAAAGATGCACTGAGTGACTTTTCTGGTGGAGGGTCCGTCGCCTGATGTCTTCATGAAGATGTCTGGAATGTTCCACGGTATAGATTAGATTAAACCCGCCTATCCCAAGCAGGTTACAAGTCAGATCTGTGGAGAGTCGCCCCATTCACAGAAGGAATTACTGTATTTTTGAGCAATAGAAACGCCCATAATGAAAAAGTGCTAGAGATGTAACGATATTCAAATGTCTCAGTACGATATTTATTACAACATTTTGTGTAGATTTAATCCAAAGAACTTTTAGAAGTGCTTATAACAGTTATTTCTTCATGTAGTTTACATTGAAATGGAGCAAAGGATCATGGTCTATGTAGTTCCCTCTGTTTTTTTAGCGATTGCCGCACCATAACTCTTAATTTAAGCAAAGAGACTTGTAATTCGATATATTGTGATGATATTACTGAGATGATACAATATCACGATATTTCAGTTACTGTTACATCCCTAATAGACGCAAGATGGAATTTTTAAATTTTTTTTTTTAGTTATACCATGGAACATCTCAGGTAAAGCAGTAACATGTCCACGGAGACGAGCAGGTGGCGGACGCTCCACCAGAGAAGCTGCGCAGCGCACGTTTAAAGACACCGTTTGTATTGCACGTGTGGAG